GAAAATGCGGTGTGTTTCTGTAGCTCATTCCTGTAAACTGAATTTAGCAAATTCAGATTGGAAACAAACTAATTTGCTTACAGCTATGGTCCACAAGACCTTGTGGTCCGTGTAAGTGATTCCTGCAGCTCTGCAGTAGCTGCTTTTCAAGGTGTCTTTCCTGGGAATATATATTTGGGCAGCAGGGCCAGGCCTGTGGAATCTGAGCCACGGTGCTCAGAGGTTTGTGTTTAATTCCATGTACGATAGATCTAGGCTAGGTGCTATCCGAGTGCAAGAATAAAAATAACTCCTGAGCTAGAGAGCCAACTCTAGCCAGGGATTTTCCTTGTCCCTACATAGCAAAATAAGTGAAAGATGAGAGGAGGGTGGAAATGAGGAGTTCTCATGCAGACTATGGCAGCGTGTCAAAAAAATCTGTGTCCCACTTCTAGTACTGTCACTCACACACTTCACAGTCATGGCTGTGTCATTCACTCTCACTGTTACTTCTTTTCAAGCAAGAGATCATGAATTTCTTCTCTCAGAGAGTATTTTAAAGACCTCTTCTTTTGTGCATCATTTAGTTCACTGCAGCTTGCCAGCTGAAATGCCTTGCTCAGCGGCATTGACATGTCATGGTGTGGAGAATGAACTTTGATTTTTGGTTCTGAATGGGGGAAGGGGATTTTTCAGATTCTTATTTACAGCAAAGTCTTCCCTATTGTCTCTTATTAGAGAAGGATTTGAAACATAATGCCATGGTACTGTTTGGACTGTTTCTGAGGTAGGTAAAAACTGGGGAGCTGAAGTTGAATCAGAAACACACTTCTTTATAAAGCTCAAGTGCTTTATTAAGCTAAGTTCTACTGTGCTATACTCTACAGTTTCCATTCAAACCACCTATTAAATGGAGGTTATAAAGGCTACCAGATGAGCCTTCTGTGATTGTCTTGTTTTGGGTGGCATTTATCTTAACATTTAAAAGTCTTTCTCTGCTCCTTCAGTGCTCTTAGAGAAATGACTGATTCTTACAATGCTGGCGTTCCTAAATACTAGTTAGTAATGAACAAAGAAACCAACCAAACTTCTGGGTTTGCACACACATAAGTGTCCGTTTCTGTCCAAATCTGGAGGGTGGTTGTGTCATCTGCTTCTATGCAGACTGAAGTCCATCTTAAAATCCTCTGATTTAAGGGAGGAGAACAGGGGAGTCTTCTGTTGTGAGTCATTGTGGAGCTTGATCATGCTGCTACTGATGTTGGAAGTGATTTTTCAGTGTTATGGGCAGCTATTGGTTTAAATTTGAAGTCATCCTGACAGCTGTGAATGGCATCTCATGTGCCCTGTGCCTCTTAAGGAAGGTCACCCATTTGCCATGTCCCTGCTGAGTTAAAAGCATCACTAACATGTCCCCTAAGATCATTCTTTAACTGGGTGTTATTGACAGAGAAGAAAACAAGGTTCTTGGATGCAAAAAATGGACATTACCAGGGTAAAATCTGTTTTTTACCATGTCAGAATATAATACGTCTGCCCTAGTGACCTTTCAGTTGATTGAAAATCACTTGTGTTTAAAAGAATCTGCTTTTAAACCACAACTGCTTTCAGTGGAATTTGAACAGTGGAGAGTTGTGTTACTTTGACAGATCAGTGCTGTGTTGTCTGTCTGCCTGCTGGGATCTCCGTTGCCTGAGGTAGTTCCTGAACTGGGAAAAAGTATATAAAAGGCTTGGGAATGGACTCCAGCCTCTCCTGGCATCTTCAGGACCCTTAAGGTGAAAGCTGGAGCATATGGAATTGGCAGCCTGGATTGTCTGCAGCTTCTGTTCTAAAAACACTGTGACTCCTCCAAAGCACATCAGGGCCTCTGTGTCCAAGGGGAATTCCAGCTCTGTTAGCTCTTCAGCTGCAGCTTTTTTTAGTTTGCTTGCTGTGATCAAATCACTTGGGGACATCTGGTTTCAGAGGTGGAGGTTCCTACACAGGAGGCTGATCTGAGCTGATGGAATGTACTGCACATTATCCACCAGATGCTTTTCAGCCACTTTGATTTGGTCTGTGTTTGATAGTGATGAAGGTGTAAAAGTCACATATTCCTTCGGCATTGAGCCAGCACATCCTGGGTAGCAACAACCCTGCAGAATGTGACTGAGAGCCTAATTCCTTTCCTTGGGCGCTGTCTGTGAAGCACCAGTATCCTCTAGGATATGCTGCTGGCTGGCGTGCATGCAGCTGTACCAGCTTGTACCATGCAGTATTTGGTCCAAGCCTCTTTTGGGATGCTCCCTTCCTGCCTTTTTTGGAAGCAGCCCTCCTGCAGAGGAGTAGCAGCAGCTGTTGTGGACAGAGCCAGGACTGTGCCTGCACTGACATGCTCACAGGTACGTTGTGACCAGCTCACAGGTGTGCTCATGGAGTTGCTCTGCATTTCTGGTGGGAGTCAGCATGGTCTAGGAGATGTGGAGCTGGCAGGAGCAGCAGCCAGTGGGCCTCTCCATGTGGGTTTTTTCCTGTTGTTGTTTTGCTGCTTTAAAACCTGAAGCTGGCTTTCAGTTTGCAGCTGCTCTTGGGCACAGTTGTGCAAAGTAACTGACTTTGGAGTAGTGTCTAAACATTGTTCTCAGCTTCATGCTGATTCCTCTCCACTGAGGCTAAAGTCATTTCACTTCTGACCTCGAGCTGGACTTGTGCTTTGCTCCCATGGGAACTAGAAATAATAATTATTTTAAGAATAGGTTCTTAATCACTTCCTTCTTTTGATGGACTACTTTTGTTTAGTTTTTCGTAAGAATGTAACAGAAAATGTTTTAAACTGTGTGTGTTTTAATGCCACTTTTAATTGGCTGCTTGAAGGATTTTACAAGAATTCATTACAATTCCTTTTAGGTTTGTTCTTTTTATTCTGAGAGGAGACTGTTCGAGTTTTGTTGCTTTGGCAAACTGGGCAGCAACACAGCTACGAAGAGATGAACATTCAGTTGAACTTCTTAGTCAAAGGCATGTGGCCGTTTTGTCAGTGTTGGTGGTGTATCAGCATGTTAATCTGGCTCTGAGCTGTTAATGTACGTACGAGAAATAGGCAAAGATGTGCTTTAATCTGGGTTTAGAAGGAATGATAAGACAAGGTATGTGATGGTTTAGAGGCAGAGCAGGGCAGGTGATGAGATGGTTTTGCAGATGGAGATCTGCTGTCCGCCCTGACCCCAGCAGCTGGGGAACAGTGAGATAAAATACTTTATTTGGGGATCTTCCCATAAACTGAAAGAGCCTTGAAACGTACAGGTGGGATTTTGGGAATCTTTCTGCCATCAGGCAACAGCTCACCTGATGGTGGTTTAATCTGTTGCTACAACTGGTTTTATACGCAGCAGTAAAAATGAAAGAGCAGAACTGGCTTTTCTTTACCTGCCACTTGCCTAAGGTCTGTCATTTGCCCATCTGTTACTGTCACAGTTTTGGGAATACCTAAGTAGTAACAGCAGCAGTGATGCTAGTGAGGGAGAAAGGGATGATGAGCCAAGTACTTGAAGAAAGTGATAGTTTACTATCCTACTTTTGGCAGCTCTGGCATTCTGGCATCTTTTGTGTAGGCTGTGAGGACTTGTTTATAGTATTACAAGGTTTATTACAAGTTTTCTTTAAAAAGAGCTGCTATCAGGTTTCCCAGAGCAAGCAGGAAACGGGGGATCAGCAGTTCTCCAGCTTCAGGCCTCTGCATGGCCTTGGGCAAGCCAAGGGAAATGCCTGGCACTTCTGCAGGATGTGCTTCCTATTCTCGCTGTGGTTTTAGAGTTAGGTGCACCTTCTTTACAGGAAGAATCCTTCTTTACAGGAAGAATAATTCAGTTCTGTGGGTACGTTTGTACTGAATGTGTGATAGCAAATACACAGTGCCCTGGCACAGGCCAGTTCTAGTGCACGTCTCTCTTGTGCCACTGCAGTTCATGGTCCAAGTCGCTCCCAATCGACTGGGTGCTTGCTGATGTTTTCCATGAGGGTAGAGTGTTTGGAGGTGACATTGCTCCTGTCACTCATTTGTGTGCTCTCCAGTACAGGAGACCTTAACCTCGACCTGATGCTCGTGTTGCTTTTGCCTGTGGCGTTGATTGTGCTTCGTATTGCTGGTATTTGAATTGCTTCCATTGTAACTAGGCTGCACAAGCAGCATGAGGAGATGAAAACTAGGAAGATGTATGGCTAAACCCATAAAAACCAAGAGGGAACCTGAGATAGGCACTTACATCTGTACTTTAATGTCTGGTTTGAAATTTACAATGTTATGAATATTTCCTACTTCCTCTGCTCTGCCAGTAATATGGATTAATGATTCATAAAGGTGTATTTTAAGGGCTGGGTAGTTTCTATTTAAACAGTGCTTACTGGAGTCCCTGTTGTTCCTCCATTTTCTGTCCATCTCCCACCTCCCAACATTGTTCATACTTAAGCCATTTTTCATTCCAGCCTTCCTCGTCCTTGGAGAAAAGTTGCTATTTCCAGCCTGCTGGTGAGCCTTTGTGCCCAACTCTGTTTACAAGCAGTGTAAAATTGGTGGGTGATAGCTTTTATTGGGCCAGAACTGTCATTTCATTCTTCTTTTCCATTGTTACCAGCCTCGAAAATCAAATGGAACTGAAGAAATCAACTTCTGTTGACTTCATCCCAGCCCCCTGCAAAATTCAAGCCACAGCTATATGCAGCCAAGTGTGCAAAAGCCTTCTGGGCCTGGGTTTGGGCTTACTTTTGAGAGTGTTGTTCTCAGTTGATGGAAGCTATAAAGTGGCATTTGAGAAGGTGGGGTATTGGCCAGGAGAAGAGTGTGGGTGAAATGAGTTTCAGTCCTGCTGAAGATACTTGTGACACCATTTGTGACAGCCATGGACAGTGCCTGGCAAAGCTGTCCCTGGCCAAGCGTGGTTCGGTGTAGTTTTTAGTGTTGGCAGTTTGGGAGTTTTGATGGGATGCTTTGTCTTTAAGAGCAGACCCGAAAGCAGAATGATGTGTTGTCTGTTTTGTTTCAGTGGAAAGCTGGTTTCACCGAAATGGAAAAACTTTAAAGGCTTAAAACTTCAGTGGAGAGATAAAATCCGTCTCAATAACGCCATCTGGAGGGCATGGTACATGCAGTGTAAGTGTCGGGCTCCCTTGGGTCGCTTGCTATGAAACCCTTTGAGAGACATTTAAGTAAGTAGCAAGAGAATTGAGATTCTTGTCTGATGAAAAGCTAAAGAATGTGCTGAAGGCAGATTCGGTGTCTCAGAGGCTGTTGGGGCAGTGCCATTGGATCAGTGCTTTCCACATGGCCACACAGAGGCTGCACTGGGCAGTCCAAGCACAGCTGAGGTCTCCCCATTTCCTGTGGGTTAGCTGGAAGGAACCCTGGCATGGTGATGGAGGTTTTTCTCACCTCTTGCTGTTGGAGTGACAAAGCTCTCTGCCCAGCTGCACGTGCTGAGCACTTGCACTTCCATTCTTGTTTCAGACCTGGAGAAGCGCAAGAATCCCGTGTGCCACTTTGTGACTCCGCTGGATGGCTCCGTGGATGTGGATGAACATCGGCGGCCGGAGGTGTGTAAAACCTGAGGAACATCCTAATGAGCTCTGGGCTTTTATAACAAGCTCTTCTGGTCTGCTAGGCATGAGAGCAGCATAGCAATTCTTTGCTCTGCTGTCTTTATTTTGAAGGAATCATTAATATAAAGCAGACTGAGGCCATTGTTATAAGTTTATCATGTTGAGGTGATCAGGGTGCAACTGGAAGGACGTTTATTATCTTCATAACTTAAGTTTATGTCCCAGTTTAGTGACACATAGAATCATAGAATCAGCCAGGTTGGAAAACACCTCTAAGATCATCAAATACAACCTCTCCCCAGCACTAACCCATGTCACTAAGGGCCTTGTCTACACAGTTTGTGAGCGCTTCCAGGGACGGTGACTCCACCACTGCCCTGGGCAGCCTGTTCCAGTTCCAACCCTCTCAGTGAAGAACTGTTTCCTGATCCCCAGTCTGAATCTCGCCTGGGCAGGTATAGAAGTGCAGTTTGAATAGTTAAGATTTTGACAGTCTCTGCTCTTTTCTGGCTGGAGATTGCTGGAGTCGGTGGGAAATCATTGATGAATATTACATCTTGAGGATTGAATCTAAGTGAGCCTGTGAGAGTTTTCTGTATTTTATTCAATTGTTAGGGTGTGCTTTCAAGACAATGAGCAATTGTTTTATTTTTTTCTCTGTCAAGGTACCTTGACAAAAAGAGCAAATACAAGTCTGTGCACTCTCATTTTTGTGGCCTTTAAACATAAGAGAAAACTAATGTGTGCCCTCTGGCTCTGTGCAGAAAACCAGTGAGGCCCTTGCTGGGGCAACATGTGGCTTTATACTCATAACTCTAGAACAATTTATAACTCAGAGGAGTTCCAGATGAGTTTGTAGAACTGTCTCAGGCTTTTGAAAGAGCAGTGTTGATGTTTGTATTGGCAGATGACCCCCGAAGACAAGAAGGTTGTGTTAAGGCTCTCATTAGTCTGCTGTCCCCAGCTTACACACTGCTCTCTGTGATACATTAAACCCCCACACTGTTCTGATCCTTTTGTTGCTATTAACGCATGGCCTGCAAAGTCACTCCTGAGCTGGACATCACATTTCTATTGCTTTGTGTCATTCTGAAGAGCTTTTGTGTACATGTGTGCATGTTCACGTGGCCTTGGGAAATTCTCTGCAGAACAGGGAATTGTATTTTGCTTTTTACATTACACTTCAGGAAATTAATTTTGAAGTTAATTTGCTTTGTTTTGGTTTTTTGCCATGTCTTAGCTATTGGTTGTGGTTGAGCTGATGTGGGAGATGCTGACAGTGCAGTCAGACATCATCTCTTGTTATTTGATTGTGGGAAAGATAAAGTTAGTACTGTCAGATGTGCCTGTGATAACTGAACTCTGGGACAGTGTGGGCTGCTGATACATGAGCTCATACAGAATTAGCATGTTTCTTTTGCATCTTTTATGCCTGAATATTTGCTTGGAAATGTACTGACCATTCAGCCAGTCTGTGAGTCCGTGTAATTCCTGGTATGTGTTTGTGTTCTCAGGCCATTGCAACAGAAGGGAAGTACTGGAAACGAAGAATTGAAATAGTTATCAGGGAATACCACAAGTGGAGAACGTACTTCAAGAAAAGGGTCTGTTGTTTTACACAATGGAAATACCTTATTTGAACTTGATCAGTTTGTGGTTGCTTTTTGAGTTTCGATGTCACTTTTGCCAGCATGCAAGAATACTTAAACCAGCTGATAAGCTACTACAGGCATACTCACTGATTAGCCCCACTTAACTAAACATTACTGTGCAGGGACCCACTGTGCACGATTGGGACTTAAAAGTTTTGCAAAAAAAGGTCTGCTGTTAACATCTACAAGGACCTGTTCTGACTTTAACACCTGCTTTGTTCTTCTTTTGCAGTTACAGAAACATAAAGATGAAGATCTTTCAAGTTTGGTCAGGGTAGGTAATACCTCTGATAAGTGGCATCGTTTGTGCTGGTAGAAGCTGCAGTAAGTAACAGAGCTGTAACATGCAGTAGCTTGCATTGATTAAAATCTGAAGACAAGCATTTTGCTGTAGCCTTAATTGAGGTTGGAAGCCTTGGTGTTTCTGTGCTGTAGAGAGCTGTAAGCTTGTAACTTCATGCTGTAGGTTTGTAACTTCAATTGAATGGAGGAGGGGTTGAATGTAAAGTGCTCTGACAGAAGAGATAGCAATCAGTATTGGGTGTCCAGAAAGATCAGTCTCCTTGAGGGCTGGCACATTATTTCTTCTCATTACTGAATTGTAACTGGCATTACTGCCTAGTTTGTGTAACTGGAGCTGTGAAGATGTGTGTGCTACATATTGCAGCTCTTCCTGCTGCTCACAACATGGGCAGATAATGTGCCAGCATCCTAAGAAAGGGCGAAGTGTTTAAAGGAACATTGATACCATCATTTAGTCTGCCCCCTAAAGTCATCCAACCTACTTGGGGTGTATAAGTTGATGGTCAGAAGCACTGTTCTGGTGTTGGGGGTGTATTTTGGAGCTAAGCATAAGTCTGTATCCACTCCAGTTCACAAAACTCTCAGCTCTTTTGACTGTGAGCTCCAGTGCACCATCATGGTTTGTTGGTGTAGTTACTGCATGTTTGCTCAGCCACAAGAGCCTGACTGTGCTTTTAGTTTGCAGCAAATGGAAGGCAATGCAATTTGGCTTAGCCTGTATTGAAGGACAGGTAAACCGATGTATTTTGTATGCGCTGAAAGTGCCCACAAGAATCTGAGCATACCTTGTGCAAAGGCAGTTTGCAGTCAGATTCACTTCAAGATGTTGTTTGCTTTGAGTTTTTGCTGTGTGTGTTACTTTAAAATCTTTATTCAATCCAAGGGATTGTTAAATTTAAGGTACAAAAATACACGTATATTCAATGAAACTACAAAGTGTTGATGAGACTGTTTTGTCTTGCGTCCTTCTACTCAACATCTGGTTTGGGGGTAAAAACCTTTCCTAGAGTGTAGGGGTACTCTACTGAAGCTTTCTGTTGAGGCCCAAACCAGTGAGCTGAAGTTGTTGATGTATTAGAAGTACCACTGGTGTCTTCCAGTCCCTTTGTATGGCTCCTAAAGGAGAGTTTCTTTCTCTAATGATGTGAAAAATTAAGGTGACTTTTATATAGCAGACCAGACTGCTTTAGCGTTGTATGATTTTCCTTCCCTTCCTTTGGAAGGATGATGATGTGGTTCTCTGGCAAAAAAGAAGGTACGGCAGAGAAACCCCTGTCCCTATGGAGGAAGGCAGCCTCTTGGATGCAGATATGCTCATGTCCGAGTTCACCGACACACTGTTCTCCACACTGTCTTCACATCAGCTGGTTTCCTGGCCAAATTCCAGGGACATAGGTATGTGTTGGCTGTTAGCTGCGTTGCAGTGGGAACACTAGAAGTCTGGTTTGTTGCTTTGCTGCTCTTCTGGTCTTGTCTAGGAGTTTTATCTATCTTTACTGATACAGATAAAAATAGGTCAGAGAATGCAGCGTCTTCATGCATGATGGAATTTCAGTTATTCATCCAAATTTATTTTCTATCTTAGCTTCTTACATGCTGCTCCTGGCAATGTTGCTCTGAATAAACCTATAATAAGCAGTATTTACCTTTATCAGGGATGAAGGTTTTGTTATTTATTTCAACCTATGTGTGTGTGTATTTAAGGGAGTGCCTATGCATTTTTCTTCAGATACATCCCTTAGAACAAGTGCAAATCACATCCGTAAAACCAGTCCCAAGAGCCTATACAGCTCTATTGAATGCTCTGTATCTGATAGCTGTGACTATGATGGGACAGCAGGTGTCCACTACACATCATCCTTGCTGCATGGATGTCTAAGCAACTCCAGAGCAACATGGAGTATATATGCAGTTTCCTCTGCTCCCGTGGGACTCCAGCTGTAGTATTGTATTCAACTCTTGGGGCTCCCAACATAGGAGGGATCTGGAGCTGTTGGAGTGAGTCTAGAGGAGGCCATGGAGATGTTGCAAGGGCTGGAGCAGCTCTACTCTAGAGCCAGGCTGAGAGAACTGGGCTGGTTGAGCTTGGAGAAGGCTCCAGGGAGACCTTAGAGCAGCTTCAGTACCTAAAGGGGCTACAAGAAACGTGAAGAGGGGCTTTGGACAAGGGCCTGTAGGGACAGGCCAAGGGGAATGGCTTTAACCTGGCAGAGGGGAGACTGAGATGAGCTCTTAGGCAGAAGCTCTTCCCTGGGAGGGTGCTGAGGCGCTGGCATTGGGTGCCCAGGGAAGCTGTGGCTGCCCCATCCCTGGCAGTGCTCAAGGCCAGGTTGGACACAGGGGCTTGGAGCAAGCTGCTCTAGTGGAAGGGGTCCATGCCTATGGCAGGGGCTTGGAACTGGATGAGTTTTAATGTCCCTTCCAACCCAGGCCACTCTGTGGCATGATATGAAGTGTACTAGAGACAAGGTTAAGTGTATGATAGTTTAATTTTAAAACCCTCTTCTAGGGCCTGTGGTGGTTTAGGTTGTGCTTTCTAGCAAGTTTGTATTGTGCAGCAGGGGCAGGACAAGAGGTTTGGGAGCAGGAGGTATCCAAAATTGGCAGTCTCCAGTTGTTAGAGCCTTCAGGTGTCACCTCTTCCATTTTCCTAGTTGAAAGTTTCATTTCCCAGTGGGTTTGATTTCAGAGCTGTGCTGCAGTTGTGAAGAAAAGCAGATGCTCAGTTCATTTCAGCAGCAGTTTTCCTGGAAGCACCCTGGCCAAGCCTGGCTGTGGAGTGCGGGGTAGTGTAGCCAACTGCTATATTCCTACTGCTGTTACTGTGTGAGTGATGAGACGCTAATCTAATCTGTCTCCTAAATTTTCAGCACACTTAGGAAATGCTGACATGATTCAACCAGGGCTTATACCTCTCCAGCCAAATTTTGATTTTATGGATACTTTTGAGCCTTTTCAGGGTAAGAATCACATATATATATATATATATATTTATATATATATCTCAACTGATTTCTTTAAAAATGCAGTGAGTTGTGAACTAGTTTTTAACATTTAACACTTCTTAGTGATGAAGTAATTTAACACTTTGTTTGCCTCAGAGTGTTTTCTGGTACTTTAAGAATTCTATGTGACGTTAAGCTACTGCTGCATACCTTGAGTATGAAAAACAGAAAATTAATGAGTGACTTTTTGTATTTCAGATTTATTCACACCCAGTCGTTCCAATAATTATTTCCCTTCCGCATCTGCTGTCAGCTCAGCTACCACAGACAGCAGCAACCATTCTTCCCAGGTAAGAGAGTTCTCAGTGTTCAAAGCAGCCTTGTTTCAGACACGTATTCAGACACAGAAGATTCTCAGACAGGAGCTATGTCCTTCTCAGAAGGAGCTCAGGCAAGAGTTTCATGTATGAATCTGTGCTATTTCTTTTTCCTGTCAGTCTCCTGTCCTGCCGTCGGGTTCATTGCCCAACACACTTCCAGCAGAGAACATCAGTGATGGACTCATTACTTCCTCAGTACCTGCTCCTGTCATTCCTGATGTTGGCACTGACCAGTGTTTGAACATTAAAAGTGAGGGATCTTTCATCCAGCCAGCAGACTACACTCCTGACTCGTCTCTCAGCGGGCCACAGACTTTTATGCCAGTGTTTCAGACTCCTCTGCCACTGCTTCAACCTGCAGCACAACAGCACCAGTCCACGTTGCCTGCAGTGCCTCTGAATTCCAGTTTAAGCTCTCCACCAACTCCCTTTGCTGCACCAGAAACCCAGAAGTTTGGCCTCTCTGAGTCTACAGTTATCACCCACACAGCTTCTGCAACACTGACCCACAATGCCCCTGCCACCACCTTCAGCCAGAGCCAGAACCTTGTCCTGGCCACGCAGCAGCCGGGTGCAGGAGTGCCTTGTAACATGGCTTTCCAGACTACTGTCCTGCAGGGGCAGCCCTGGCCCCAGCTGCAGTCCCAACTGACATTTGCACTCCTCAAAGCTGTTCCTCTGGCCAGTGCTGGGACAAGGCCCAAACAGTCAAAAAAAATAGTGCCTGCTCCGAAGCCTGAAAATGTGTCCTTATTAAAGAATGCCTTCATCACCCCAGGTGAGAAGCTCTGGTGAGGTGATGTTTCTCTTTGCCAAGTGGGACTTGCAGGAGGGAGATACCTTCTTGTTTGTCTTGGTTTACATAATAAGTAAAAATACAGTTTCCTGAGGGTGTCCAAGGAACCCCAGAACCCACTGGTGTGTGGCTAAACTGTTCAATGGGATGCTCTGGATTTAAAGGAGCAGTTTGGTTGTGAGTGTGAAAAGCTGACCTGGAAAAGGGGGGTTTCTCCTTGCAAAACTTTGTGCTGAGCTGTACAGATGCATCAGCACATGGGATGACTAGAGCTTTGTGCTCCTGCCCCATAGAAACCTTGGTTTTGATGTTTAATGCTGTTCTGATTAACTCTGCCCCTTGGAGCATTCAGCCACAGTAGGGTTGGAGATGGGAGGAAGAGGTAGGGGTGGAGAATGGCAGATCTGTCCCTGTCATTGACTCATCTGATTTCCCTGGACAAGTTCCTGTGCCTGCTGTGCATCATCTCACTCTGTAACGCCAGGTACCAGGGCACATCCTTTGGTAATGCTTTGGATGTATTCTGATGTTGATCTTAGGTGTGCCTGACACTTCTTTGACCCAAGTACAGCATTAACAAGGGAGCAGCTATTTGAAATAGAGCACAACATTGGTCCAGATGAAAGCATAGGTGTGCGCCTCTCATCTACCATTAGTACTCCCTAGCAAAACTGGGGTGATGAGAATCAGCCCTTCCAGTGGGGAAGGATTCAAGACAGGTAGGGTGAGCTGGAGATCTTTGTCTCAAGCCATCTATGGGTTTGAGAAGCTGTCAGAAGCACATGATTTTCAGAATGTGAGTGCCAAACTGATACGTGGGACCTGCTCATTGGGTGTGATTTAGAGCCATCAGCACTGCACAAAGCTAAGAACAGCAAATATGAACAGAGGGAGTTGCTTGGTGGTTCTTGTGGGGAAGCTCAGGCTAGAGCAGAACAGGCAGTACACTTATGCTTGGGGTTACTGCATAGTGGTTTTAGACTTGTGCTGGCTGGGGGCCAAGTGACTTCAGCCACTTGAAATGTGCAACAATAATGCAAGAAAAGCTCTGCCTGAAGCAGTGTTGCTAAACAGGGTTCACTAAGGGGTAGCTGTGTCTGCCAGGGCCTGGCAATATGATTATCCACCAGAAAACAAACCAGCATCCAAAACAAACAAACAGCCCCCCCAAAAAAAGACATTGTTCAGGAGCAGAACAGACCCACGGATCTAATTCTAGCATCTCCACTGGGCTGGTCCATGATTAATAGTACTGGGGTGTTAAAGGCAGTGTTTCTGTCTTCAGTACATTATAAAGCAAGAGTCCCTGTACCTTCAGCAGTCAAGACGTGCATTTCTCCTAGCAAAGCATTGCAGGCAACTCTCATTTAAAGAAAGCCTTTGCTCCTGGCCTCCTTAGTGCTTCCTGGGTTGTTCTTTTTGCAGGGCTTCATCAGTTACTTCTAGGCCAACACAACGAATGGCTTTGTTTCTCATCTAGATTTAAGGTTGTTGCTGTTACTCATTCCTGGTAGGTGCACGTGTTCAGGGATCACAGTGCTCCCAAAGTACTGGGACACCAAGCTCAGAGGTCTAATCCAAGGTTTTATCTAGAGGTTTATTTTTGGAAATAGAATATTCAGTACATGTAGTCAAGGCATTTACACCTGTCATTTGTTTTCAGGACAAACAAATCATCTCAAGACTACAAAGCAGATTGTATTATAACCTGGCTCATTCAAAAGGGGTGTGTTACATTTATTGCCCTGTGATACAAGGACTCAAAAATCTGCATGAGTTGTCTCATCAGGTGCAAGACTTCACATGGGAAAGAGCTCCGCTCTCACCGCTTCCGGATGAGCATTGTGGGTTTGAGGGGAAAGTCCACAAACGATGCATGTGTAGGACAGAAACATGAAAAGTGTAAAGGGACATTTAAATATGTACTGATTGTTACAGTTACCCCAACGGGGAAGTCAGAAATGCCAAGTTTGTGTAGCAGCATTAATGCACTGGTAGGAGCAGCCTCTTGAGCTCAATAGAGATGTTGTAAGTCCAGCTGAACAGTAGCGAACAGTGGAAGGGTTGTGATTCCAGCATTGTATGTGGGGATGCTCAGGCAAAGAATGAACTCCCTGTAGCCCAGTGACAGTGCTCTGCCAGATGTACCCACGCAAGGGCTGGCACAAGGTTTGTGCTGTCCACAGGCCTTTGTAATAAAGGCTATACAGTTGATTCAAAACACAGTTGTTGGTCCCAGGGACAGTAGGGGAGAGGACATTAGAGGTCCTGCCCTGTTGTTCTGTTCTGCTGTATGTGTCCCTTCACTATCCTGATGCTGAACTGCAGAGGGGTAGGTTTGCAGTGCCTGAGCTGTTGTGACACTTTTCATTCATTGTGACTTTATTAGTACAAAGGAGAGCTGAAGCCAACACAGGCTATGAATGAAGTGAACCACGTTTGGTTTAGCTTTCTCAAAAAGCATACAGAAGCTGTGTCTTTGCATGATTCTTCCCTCAGTAGCAATGCAGGATGGTTAATCATGTTCTCTCTGAAGTCAAGGTAAGACCAACATCAGCATTAGTGCCATGGTAATAATTGCACATCTGCATTGGTTAAATAGAGACCTTCACAGATTTCTATTAGACTCAAATACTATAGTAGTGAAAAAAGTTCAGAGCAAGGATCCTGATTCCTGTTGTGGGGGCAAGCTCCTGTACAGACTGGGTTTGCAAATTCTGTGTAACTTTCTTTGTGGAGACAATTGCTGCTATTCACCGTTATCTCTAGCTGTGTAACACTGCAGAACTGCTGGTCCTTCAGCCTGTTTGCTGGAATTTTGGTGCTGATTCCCAGTCACATTTGGTTGTCTTGTGCTTGTGTGTCATGTAAAGCAACTGTAAAACCAGCTAGTGAAAGAAGCTAGCAGAGAAAGGAACAGAATTTAATATGTATATATACACAAGGAAGCATGAAGTATTGGATATGCATCCTTCAGTTGGTTTCTGTCATTGACCCTTTCTGGGTCAGCAAGCGTGAGATCCAAGAAGTGATGAGAGGTGAAGATGATCTCGCTGCTGCCAAACCCAACTCTGATGGAGTGGAGACACTTTGCACCTCCCTGATTTACTGCCTACCTCTGTAAATTCACCTTGAAAAAGGACATTAGAAGCCTCAGAAATAACTGGTGTTCTGTAAAGAGTCCTTTGTACTAGATTAATGGGATTGAGATTATCAGAAACAGTGCCAAATAGGTGCGCACTGATCCATTCCCCTGTTCCATGACAAGTTATTTCACACAAAATAATCTCCAGTTTTTTGATTTTTCTGTATTTTTTTGTCTCATTAACTATTCTAACTTAATTGTGTTCTTCAGCTGCCTTTCAAGGACAGTCCAGAGCTGTGATTGTAACTCCAGCACCTTTAAAAAGAGAGGGGATTTTGACGCCAGCCACGTCTCAGTCTAATGTTGCAATTGCACCAGCTGGAATTGTCAGAGTAAGGAGAAGAAAAAACCTATATATTTATTCTCTAGGCCTGTTACTTGCAAGTAGTTAGAGCCATAACGTGCTCAGGAGGGTAACTAGTCCACTAAATCTCACCTTTTATATGCATTTATGTGCATATGTGTTTGTGCATTTAGTATTATGTTTGCTTATTTTTAATTTAGCTACCTTATGGGCCTGGAAGCACTGTGTAGTCTTCAGAGACTCTGTCTCACACAACAGTAAGATTACAAAGAGGCATGTATACACAGTACTATGAATGGGGATGGCTTGTGCCTTTTCTTACCTGTGCAGAAGCCAGAGGAACCCAGGATGCTCACCTTTCCATTTACACACTGGAAAGCATGCCTGGAGTTATGAGTGGGTTTCCTAATATGTTGAATGCAGGAAGATGGAAGTCGATTTTAGTATTTTATGTTGTTGTGTTGTAATGCTGCTTAAAGTTATGAAAGGATACTGGTCTCCTGCCAGAAGTCTGACCTCAATGCCTGCCAATTCCTTATGTATTAGCTCTTGTTTCATGTCATCAGATTATTAATCATGTATTAATTTGCTATTTTTAGTGAAAGGCAAGGTAACAAATCTCTCTTTCTCTCTCCCCCTCCTTCTTCTTTCTCTCATCTCTTCTCCTGCTCTGCCCCCACCCTTCCCCTTCCTGCTCTCTTGTTCTTTCTCTGTTTTCCTCTGTGCTATTTCTATGCTGTTCCCAGGCTCCCGGGGTGACGGAGTTCCGTAGTAACATTCTGGTTGGTCCAGCTCAGCGAGCACCAAGTAGTCAACAAACCCAGTCCACAGTCTCACATCTCTTCTCTCCTAGTGTAGTCCAGGATGTGTTGGTGAAAGGAGAGCAAATCCCTTCCCACAGTAGCAGTTCACAAGTTCCCTCTCCTACACCTAGTAAGTTAGAAAGCTGTAAGCGTTCCCTCCCCTACACGTGTGTTTCCACTGAGTAGGCAGGGTGTAAATGGGCCTTGTACCATAACTATAACTTTGGAGGATCTGAGATATAATCTTTGTTAACAGTAGGTAAGTGCAAAGACTCCTGCATGCCTGTTGGTAGGGTGGTGTCTGGGCTGGTTTTAGAAACATATGCTGGTTTTGCTGGTAAAGGGCTTGTAAGTGTTACCATCATGTCTCAGGCCCTCAAATAGAGAAGTCTAGCAGGATGGTGGAATTGCAGCCTTTGCATTCAACATACCTTTGCTGAAACGTGTGTGTGAAGGGAGTATTACATACCACTACTGAGATGTGTTATCCTTGTGCCATGAAGTACTAAACTTTCCCAGCAATCCTGACATTTTCTAGCATGTGGTTGCTGCATCAGTGAGTATAATTTTGTTACCAACTGCATTCCAGTTCAATTCTGAATAGAAACTTCTCAACAGTTCCATTTGCTACAGAAAGTTGTTTGTGAATGTGACTTGTCTTTCTTCCCTTCTGAAGACCGAGACTGCCAGAATTCAGGCCAAGCTTCCCCCTGCACCTCTGAGCAGAGCCCCAGTCCACAGTCTCCCCAGAACAGCTGCTCAGGAAAACCTGCCACTGACCCTAATACAGCTGCATTTAAGGTGCGTGTCTTCTCCTTTGAGGTGCTTTTCTTTGCCTTTGTAGCTACTTTTTTGCCCTGAAGTCTGGACTAGAGTAAATTATGCTTCAGGAACAGCAAAGTGTTCGTGCCTTAGGCGTAGGTTGTGTTGCATCCATGCTGTTCTGTTCAATTTGAAATGTCAGACTTCAGTGATCTACTGTCCTCCTCAGGGATGTGTCACCAGAGGGCCCGGGCTTAAATGTACCTCTGCAGGTCCCTATGGTCATGACAGCAGTTCCTGCTGTGGCTCACAGGAATGTTATGACAGGTCTCAGTTTACTTGGTCAGAAGCTTCAGGTTTAGTTTTCTAAACCATGGCTTTTTGCCATAGTTCTGTTGGGGCTCTTCAGTCTGCAGGGCTCTGGCCATTGTTGGAGGGGGAGTTCTTGACCTGCTAAGTTGCTTACGTGTCTCCAGTGATGCTGTGCTGCTCCGCAGAGAAGCAGCTCCACAGACTCTGCAAGTTACAGATGTAAAACACTTTGAGACTTAGTGGGGTAAGAATTCTGCAGTCTAGAGGTAGCATCTGAAAGCTGGCTGTACCTCACACGCCAGTTGACCTTGTCGTAACACTTTCTGTGATGGCAGAAGAAACTTACCCACAAAAAATAACCAATGCAGGACAATCAGCTGTAACCCTCTCATTCCTTCTCTTGTGAAAGGGAGTGTTACTTAACCATTTTGCAAGTGCCAACCCCTTTTTGGCTTCTCTATATAGCCTATGAGTTGCTGTCAGCTTGATTTACTCCCAGGGCAGAAAGGTAAGTTTAAACACTTGCACTCAGCTCTAGTTCTGTTGCAGAGAACTGCCCCTTGCTGAGCATACTGCAACTTACTGATAAAAGTTTGCAGTTACTTGCTTGGCATAAATTGTCAGTATCTCAGCCTATATAATCAGCCTAATCATCAGCATTATCGGTAGTTGCAGCCTGTTCTTGCTGCTAGAGAGCAAGTTAGCAAAGGAGCAAATTACTAGGTCTCGCCGAGGATGGGAGAGTGGCCACTAGATGGAGGAGTGTTCTTAAAAGTAAGGACTCTGCAACGAGATGGGCATTACAACCACTTAAACTGACCTGCTTAGACAGGAATTGCTTTGGATGTGTACTGTTACTGACTTTGGTGGGACAAGGAAGAAAACAGCAATGCGTGCCAGTCTCCAGATGTATGTTCTTTTGCTCTTCTGCGTTCCTAGCGAAATTAATTCTGTATTGGTGGGTAACGTTGTTTTTTCAGTTTGGCAAAGCACAGAGGGCACTGGAAATCTCAGTTCTGCTTCTGAACCTGCATTTTCTGTGGTTTTGGTCAGCCACTTTGCTGCTCTATTACATTGTTTTCCTCCAATATAAAATGGGGTGATGGTGGGCTACTGCCAGGAAGTCTAGCTCTGCCAAAAATGCATTCTCAGAGTGCTTTGGTGGAAGCAATGTCTAAGTTTTTAATGATACAAATGAAAGCGCTAATTCCTGACAAAGCCTTTATCTTTAGGATAGGCCAGAGTTGTGGATTCTTACTTTCTTTTTCATTTTTGTCAGACTGCCTGTTATATATGAGGAATAAATGATATGGACTGTTTTAAACTTACAGATTTCAACAAGGTCCTAACCAATTGCATGCCTCCAAAAGTTTGGAGGAGTTGGAGTTTGACTTCAGAAAATGAAATTGTTCAGCAGTCCCAGGAGTTTTTACTTCAGAAAGAAAACCTGCAGGGTTTGGAATTGGATTTAATGCACTGGATGCTTGTTAAATTGCTTAAAGTAACTTCAATATTTAAGTTATTTAATAAATAACAAATCACTGTTTGCAAATGTGGCTTTGGGAAGACTGAATGCCACAATTCAACAGAAATCACACTGTGAATTTGAATAGCTGAAATAGTCATAGCAGTAGAACGTTAAAGGAGAACAGCATAGACTGAGCTGATTTTATTCATGCAGAATCGAAGAATGAAGCACATTTCGGAACAAAAACGAAGGTTTAATATCAAGATTGGTTTCAGTACTCTCAACAGCTTGGTGTCAACCAACTCCAAGTCGGTAAGTAACTTTTGGCACTTACATATGAGATATAAGCAAGAGCCATTCTAAAAAGATTTAATAGTAAATTTAATCTCTTCACTGTCAACTGAGGATGCCAGTCAGTCATTGAAGATACTCAAACTGAGGGACTTGCAAAGGGAAGGGTGATAAATCCATGGCTTACAGTCAAAAGAGTGTGTGAAAATGCGTCATCTTTTAAACATTGCTCTTCTGATGCAGCTTCAGATGTGAACACGTCTTGTCTGATGAGATGCTGCAGCTTTAAAGCCAACAGGGAAAGAAGAGAAATTGATCCTTGCAATCCTTGCTCTTGGGACCCCAGTAGTGAAGGGGTTTTTTGTCATGTTTGCAGCATAAGATGACTTTCCATTTTCTGTTAGGTCAACTTTCTTCTGACATATTGGCTTTTTTACCTTTGCTGGATGAGTTCTGGTCCCCATAGCTGGACTTAAAAAGCTCTGTTCTAGCCAGTACTGTAAGCTTATTCTGCCTGAACCATGAGCCAGCCAGAAGGCAGGTAGATGCTGCTGATATTATGCTGGGCCTGGCTTAATATACCTCGACATTTGGCCTGAGGTAGTGTAATACCCACCTATGAGCACAACTCATTAGCTTAGGCTTCATGCCACGCTAACCACAGCTGAGAGCACAGCAGAGCAACCTTGTGCACCTGTAAATACTGTTGGAATATGTCAGTGAGCCAAAGGAAGAACAAAAAGGTTCAGTGAAGTTTTTGAACTTCATACACCAGTGAGATCCTTGCCTGCCTGGAGCAGTCAGGAGCCTGGCCAGTTCAGATGACTTTGAAAATCCCTCTGGGTCACTTTACACCTGCCTTGAAGCATTTGTCTCTATGCCCACAGCCTAACAAATACTTTCAGGGCTGTTTTTTGACCCCATTACCCATGAGTAGATTTACAGAGAGAAAAATACCCAACTGACTTTTCACTGTCATATGACTTCATCCAAATTAAGACCCTTTTGTGGCTATACCAGTTAGGTCACTAAAGTGCAATCAAAATAACTGAAACACAGACTTGTCTGCATAACAAATATCCTTTAAATGCCGGTGCCTCTTGAAAGATGGATAATATGAAAGCAGCATGTTGATTTGTTCACATAGTTGTTATGGTTTTGTATATTTAGGCTGTAAGTTGTCAGAATTTGGCTTCCTGATTGGAAAATTAATGACTTTTGGAAAGCCAGCTTTACTGATTATTTTACTGATTATAAAAATGTCTGATTATTTTATTTCTCAAGTACAGATACTTAATTTGTTCCTCCAAACTGAGTGGTATTTTTAAAAGAATCTGTGATATTGTTTCTGTCTCCTTTGGTGATAGCTAAACTGTGTTGCCTTCTGTTAGTAACTTCTGGTTTCCCAAACGAAATAATCTATATTGTCAACTTGAAACAACACTTCTAACAGGGCAATGAATCTATCAGCAGTTGTAGCACATCCTTCAGTACTCAAGTGAGAATTGCAAGTGTTTTCAAGAGGCTAGGTAATGAAATGAAACAAATAAGTAAATGACTTCTTCCGACAAAGTAGCAAAACTATAATTTGTGGAAGAAAACAACCACTGCAACCACATTTCTCTGTACTAGTGTGCAGACAGAAGTCAGAGAAATGAAGTTTAGTATTACCTAAAGTGTTCTGCTCTGCCTGTGTCCTTTTGCACACAGTGAAGGAAACTTTAAGGTGCTGAAGTGCTTTTCGGGGTGTTACAGCAGGTTAGGGGCAAACTCTTCACCTGTCTAGCTTTGTTCCAGAAAGTGAGCTCTATGTTTGTGTTTGGTCTAGATCAGCCATGCAATCATGCTCCAGAAAACAGTAGAATATATCGCTAAACTACAGCAGGAAAGAACACAGATGCAAGAGGAAACCAGGCGCCTTCGGGAAGAAATCGAGGAGCTAAACGCTGCCATCATGTGAGATTTGGGGAGCTTTCTGTAATGAAGCAGAGCAGCTTGAATGTTGCTTTGGCTAACAACAGGGAATGTTTGCCTCAGATGTCATGCCAAATGGCAGATGGGTATTGAGCAGAAGTAGGGTTGCTACCAGCTGCCAAGCAAAAAGCATAGTTGCTGTGGGATGGGCATTGGTAGCAAACCATGTGGATTTCCAGCAAGCTCTGAGAAGGGATGCCCAGCAGTGGCAGCATTAGAAAAGACACATCAGGTCAGTTAGAACACTTCTGGGAAGAAGTCAGTGACATGTTTTTATAAAGCTGTGCTCACTGGGTGATCAAACACTTACTCTTCATGATGGCTTTGCTGCAGTTCTCCTTCCAAATGCAGTCAGTTTTCATAGGAGAATAAGACTGAGTACATAAGACACAGGATTTGGAATCAAGAAGCTTGCCACTGGCTGCACGTAACTCTTGATAAGTCGCTTCACCTTCCTGGTGCCTCAGTTTCCTCTGTGGGTTTAAGATAGTTCTGTGCTATTGCAAAGCATGTTGAGAACCCCGGTGGTTTTTCTTCCATCTACAGCAGTGTTAGGCTTAGGCATTACGTTAGACTTATCAGCAAATCACAACCTTGGGATTTTTCTGTTAAAGTATGATGATGTCTGATTTTATTTCAAATTGATCTGTTCCTGAAGAATCTCTGTAACATTTTCAGCTGTAACATTGCTCAGGAGTAACCCTGTAAGTTTTTCTTTTGACTCCTAATGTGCCTTTTTCTAATTGGATGCCAAAAACTTCTTTGTCCTATGTTACACTTTGTTTTCAGCTTTGTTGCTTGTAATGAGAAGTGTGTAGAAGCTTGAGAAATGGCTTTGCTGTATGAATATAGACAAAATTGATGGGAAGACAGTATGTATTCCTGGCTATAACAGTCACATTCTGGAGGGGGTCATGCACTGGGAAGCCACCTTGGTCAGGGATACTGGGGATACACACTTTTCTCTTGCTATGATTTAGTCTGGAAGTGTCCTTTCTGGTGGGGATTCTGACCTCAGAACATCTTCTTTGCAGTTCTTGTCAACAGCAGCTCCCTGCTACCGGGGCTCCCGTAACACGGCAAAGGTTTGACCACATGAGGAGGATGTTTGATGAGTATGTGAGAAGCAGGACCCTGCAGAACTGGAAGTTTTGGATTGTATCCTTTTTATATCAACCTGCTGAACTTGAGGTTTGGTACTAATAGAGCCAAGAACTCTGGATTTTCATGCTTCAAGCAAAGTTACTTCAATTACATCTGCCCTCAGTTTTCATTCACACCTGTATGTGGATGTGAATTTCTGCCTTATTGACTGTCATGAGGCAGAACTTGTTCATTTTAAAGCGTGGGAGGTAACTTGAAAGTAAAATGCAGCACAAAGGCAGGGTTTTCTTGGTGGGTTATTATAGTGCAAGCGATGTTGGACTGCTGCTGTAACTGTAGTTCTTGCCTCATGGAAGAACTGAACAGAGAATAACAAAGATTTTGGAGGAAAAGCTATTACAAACAATTACTGAAGCTGTTGCAGTGGCGGTTGTAAAAACTTGCATGTTCCCTTCTCCCTCCCCCTCTTTGATTTTCTTTCAGTTTTCTGTTTGTCTTTTGTTACAACAGGGAATCAACTTAGTTTCTCTTTGCTTCTCGAGTGCTGCTGGCAGCTGTGCTTGTAGGCAGATGATAATATAGGAGGTTGAAAGATACAAACTGAGTGAAACAAGATTAGTCTGTGCTCTACAGACTGAACTAGTTTGGATCAAACATTATTCACTTGGATCAGTTCAGGGCAGTTAGTAATTAGCAATGATCATTAGTGCTAACCTTCCCTTTTCCCATTAAACTTCATTTCTTCATGTAGCTATTTGCGCTTCAGATTTTCTATCTCTGTTCTGTGCTGGTTATTTCTAACTCCCTGGATAACATGAGTACTTCTGTGCATGCTTGTGCATGCATGAAGTACAGCATTTTTCATTCTTTCATATATAAAAATGCTTTCTTTGGTGTTCCCTGGTTTATGTTGGCCCTAGAAAGATACTTCTCTTTTTAGCATTGTTTTAGGAAAGATTTCTTAGCAAGCTCTCAGGCAAACTCTGATAACTTAAGACTGGTGCAGCTGTTGAACCTCTGGATTCTACAGCACGATTAATTCTGTAACAATTCCAACTAAATTACAAACCCAGAGGTTTTTAAATAACCAGTTTGATCGATGTACTAAAGACAATCCTGCACATGTTTGCTGATGGGATGGTGTGTTCGTTTTATGCTGCTCTAAGATGCTAATTACCTCTGGAATTTGGAAGTAAGACACTTCTGGAAAGTGGCAGAGGTTTTCAGGGATGAAGATGCAGTTCTGGGTAGCTGCTTTTTGTCATATTTGGGCAAAGACAAAGGTGTTTGTGGTTGGTGAAAGAAGAAGTTGATAGGCAATGTAATGTTCCCAAACTTCACTTTACAAGTCAGGGTGGAACTGTGACCCAACAGTCGTTCAGTGAGCTGGATTGAATCCTAAGTGCATAGCAGTAAAAACTGGCAAGGTCCAGGGGTGAGTGTTAATAATAAAAAAGCTCCTCCTTGTGGAATGACTGTAAAAGAGAGAAGAGCAGTTTCATTACAAATATGAAAATGCCATAGTTTCTGTTGCATATAAGAGGGAAATGAGTAATCTGATTTCTCTTGGGCAACCAGAGATAACCCAAGAATAGAATACTCTTGAATATTAGAATATCCATTGAGTAATACCCATGTTGTTCTTCCAGTCACTGTCAAAGTGTATAAGGGCATGTAAATCCCCTCAAGTGTTATTAGACCTATCTTGATTGTCAGCCCCAGTGAGATGGGGATATATGACAATGCTGAGATTGATTTGGACCATATTCTTACTTGCTGCTGACATCCAGAGTAACATGATAAAACCACAGATTCTGAGCCTTCACATGAGTTTTATCATCCAACCAGCTTCTGAAATAAATATACCTTGAATCCCCTTGCTGAGTTATTGTGGTAGAAGAAGCTGGTTTGAGTTCAGATATTCCAGGAAATCCCCTCTGAATGCCTTGGAGCTGGGGCAGCTGAGGCTTGTAGTGGTGCTCTGTACGTCCTAATACATTACAGGCTAAAAATCCTCTCTGCTCCTTTTCTGCCAGGAAGGTTATTGCCAATTCCAGCCCATCCTTCCAAGCTGTGACAACAGAGAGCCAAAATGAAAGCCTGACAGTCCTCAGCTTGCTACTGTTCTGGTCCATATTGAACTGAGGGTCATTTTTTTCCTTTGTCTTAATGTTAAAGATGTAAAACAGACTCTTTGAAATGTTGCAATGCCTCTAGTGGTTGCAGTCTGTTTAGAAGTCCATTGTTTTCTCTGCAGAAAACAGGGGAAGGCTATAGTAGCCTTTCCCATAGAATGTTTTGAACTCCTCCTTTGTTGTCTCCCTTAACATTTGATGATTTGCAGTTCAGCATTATTATTAAGCCATTGTTTGAGTCCTTCAATGGGATGGTTTCCTCTACAAGCTTTAAGGATCTGAATCAAACTGCAGTGGCCTGGGTGGATCAGCACTGTTCTCTCCCTGTTCTGAGGCCAAGTAAGTAAGGTTCTCTCCAGCAGTTATTCCAGATCATTGAAAGCGAGCCCATGTAGAACACTATTTCTTGAAAGCCAGGGGATGACAAAGAAATCACATGATGCTAAATGTGACTTCCAGTTCCTTTCTCCTATCTCAGTGGAAAAATACGAACCTCTGTGAAGACACTCGGTTGCATGATTAACACTAAACAGAAGAAACCCAAACAACAAATACAGATACCAGAATTTAAACAGTCTCGAGCTGCATTTAAATTTCAGATGCTTCAGTCTAGTTAGAGTGAGGCCAGCATGATTTACCGCATTCTGAAGGAAGACTGGAGATTCATATTTAGCTTTGGAATGACCTTCTGTCTGGGCATGATAGCCTGGTCCTTTCCCTCTTGCATTTCAGCAACTATTTACATTTACAGTTTTAATTCCCAAATGGTGTCCTCTTTTGTAGAAGGAATAGTTTACAACCCAACAGTGGGTTGTTTAAAGCACTACATCTGCACAGTTCTTACACATCTGTTTATTGCCGTCGCTGTGTGTGGAGGTGTGCATGTTTTGCAGAGGTATTTCCACATCTGTGTGTAACAGCCTCGCGGTACCTGCACACTGTCCTGTGTGGATCTGTTTGCAGTCACACTAACAGCTTTTCTTGATGCTTTTCTGACTTTTTTTTTTACAGTGGTGCTGAACACCCTCCGGCATCTGAGTACAACCACCTCAGTTCTGTCGGACCCATCGTGCCTGCCAGAGCAAGCTGCTGAGGCAGTTAACAAGATGAACAAAACAGCTGGTGAAACCTAACAGCCAAAGGCAATGAGTTGCTTATACAAGGGGTGGGGAACCTACCAGTCCAGCAGCCTGGTGAGGCTCCTTTCAGTTGATGCACTTTAGAAAGAATTATCTCCATCACACGGGACGTTGTTCAGGGCATCTGGCTCTGCCTTCAGAATATGTGGAACTCTGAGGCAACGTTGTCATAACGTTTTGATTCTTCTTCAGTGCTGTGCTGTACTCCGTTAAGTAAGAAAACACCAAGCTCAGGTAAATTTAGCAGGTTTGAGTCCTGCAGGCAGCAATATATCTCCATCAATGCAGCATGCATCTATATGCAACAAACACACTTCTGTGAAAAAGCTTTGAGTACCAACTTCTTTGAAGTGTCAATCTTGTACACCAAGGGATGTTCTCCTGAAGGAGAAATACACTTCCAATTTCATCAAACAAAATGTGCTTTTTATTTTGTTTTCTGGTATTCAGTTCCATTTGTTTTACTTGAATAGTGAGAGTTGTTAAACAGGATCATCTTTAAAACCAAAGGAGAAGAAAAATCCGTCAATGATGTCAACTTGTGGCAAAAATACTAGAATTAAAATCTCAGGCTCTGTTTTGTGTATCTTTATTTTCATGAGTGTATCATTGCATATGATCAGTTTCAAGACATGCTTTATTTTCTAGTAAATAAAGTAGCTGACTTTTATTCTTTTTCCTGATACAGCCATTGCAAGTGAGTCAGTAGCAGGCTGTGCAGGAAGGGCAAGAAAGGAGTTTTAAATGGCATAGATTCTGCAATTAGAACGTATGGATTTCATACCCATTTACTCTCTGAACTGTTTTCTTTGCACTCTGCAGAGTTCAGCTGCCTTCCTCATAAAATGTGCACATATGAAACACATCCATAGATAAGTGTAGTAGCGCTTCAGAGACAAGAGTTGAGTTTGTAATGTTAAGAAATTGGCTTTTTTGCTATCTCAGAAACTATATCAAAGCACGTGGACTTGTAGGCAGTTCTTTGCTTCTTTCTTGCTTGTTCTTTTTGCCTTCTATCTGAAAAGCCTGAAGGACTTAGCTATATTTGGTCTGTATGGGAAGGTTATGTTCAACATGAATGACAAAACATATAAAAATGTTTAAAACCCAAAATAGTGCATAACATTTTTCTGTGACAGTCTCAGCAAGCACTGTGCTCTGCTGCAGGTAAACTGAAGTCTTCTTATAGCAGTCTCTGTCCATCCTGAGGCAGCACTGGGATATTCATTCCAGCTGATTGTTCATAGTCTGGAGTGATCCCATGACCCTTGTAATTCCTCTCATTACTTGATGCTGATTCTTAAGAGCTATGCAAACTATGGGTAACGTCTCCCTTGTACCTCCTGTGGGTGGTTTTCTCCCAGTTTCAGAAGCAGGCTGCCTGGATGCGACTAGCGGCTGGCACAGTGCTAAAATGAGGAGCAGCTGAAACACTGGGGCATTGCACAGTGCTGAAATGAGGTCAGTAGGTTCTCCTCTGGGGGATGTAGTTTTTCTCAGCACTGGGTAGGCCAAAGTTTAAAACAAAGCAATAGGCCTGGGGAGTAGGATGAAGCAGTGGGAGTATTTTTCTTCCTTGTTCTGAGAGCAGGCTTGTAGCAAGAGGAAAGCATGAAAGGTTAACCCTTCTCCTCGAGCAAGAGGTACTGTGAGTTGAGGACTTGGGCACTGTTGGGGGGAAAGGAGCTGAAGGGGAAGACGAAACAGCATGATCTGAATATCAACATGCCTTTCTGTAGCTCTGTAGACAAATGAAAGATACTTTGTTGGTTTGTTTTTTTAACGATAGTTCTAACATATCATTTGAAGTTTGTGGCACATGTGAAAACCTGTGTCCTTGTGACAGAACCAGCAAAAATCCAGGTCTCAGTAAGGAATGGTTTGTGGAAATAGTGTGTAAAGGGTTGTCATAGTAATTAAATAGCGAGTAGATTTTCTGGGGCATCCATATCAAAGTCTTTCATACAACAATGTGGTAATCAAGGAATACTCTTTGGGATGCATCTGGATAAAAAGTGTTGACTTAAGTGTAGCTTCTTTTTTAAATCAGCGCTTTAAATCCTCCCATTTTTATCATTGATTGTGAGCTTGGTTCTGAGGAAGTCATTTAACACTGTGATTAGCTGGGGAGTTTTTTCTTTCCTGGCCTGTCTCATTGAGATGCAGAGATAGCTGCATGTGGATTTGCATGTTAAAAGTACTTACCCGGTTTTCTAGAAAGAAATCAGTAGGCAAATTGTCCAGGAACAGACTCACTTGTGTTTTTGCTGTACTTTTCAGATGAACAGATCCTCTAATGCCTCCCCTACAGTGTGGTCTCCTCCTTGTCAGGCAGTGATTGTGCTTGATTTCTACCATTCCTGGTATCAATGACATCAAGAGTTTTGTCTCAACAAGCAAAGTGCACTGCAAGCACACTTCAAAGCCCAGGGAAGTCTGATGACTGCTAAGCTTAAATCTCAACATCTCCAATCTCACTGAATGGATTGGAAGTTGAAAGGGAAGGGGTAGTGTGACTGAACTGCTAAAGATTTTGTTCATTCACAGGTTTTAGCTGGATGTGGATGGAAAAACCATCATGCTCATTGCAGCATGAGCTGGTTACAATTGGAGGTAAAACGCTTATTTTAATAACTGGTGGAGGAACAAGCTCATGGCACTAGTAAAAGACTGCAAATCTGAACACAGTAAAGAGAAAAACATTAAATAAAAGATTGCTTACTTAGGCAAGAGTGTAGGAGGGAAGGAAGGAAAAGTGGAAAGATACTTTCCACGTAGTACAGTTACCAGAAATGATGTGTCTGCTCTTTGAAGCAGCAAGTCAATGTATTTTTTCTCACCCTATTATTGCAAATCAGAATCCTTTTCTTCTGTCAGTCAGCCTTGTGAGGGGTGTGATTTCACTTCATTTGGAGACACAGGAGGAGGAAAAAGGCTGGTTTACGTCCCACATCTGCACAGTGAAACTGCTGAGGATCGGTATGAAAAGCAATTGACCACGTATGTATTAATTCTGCACAGTTTCACTTTGGTTTAAAGAACTGTTTGGTAACACTTTGTCCCTTAATTTAAGCAGTCTGATTTCCTCAGTGTCACCAGAGTACACTTAAGCAAAACACACAGTGCCTATGGTCTATACAGAATTCCAGATGATGCACATCTGTCTTCAGTGAATTGGTGCTAAACTAATTTTAAAGAATTCCCGTACAATTGAACACAAATCATTCAGTCAAATCCAACACATTTCACTGAAAGGAATGGCTAGATAAAGCAGTGATGGCCAGTGATACACACAAAGTCAAGCTGAGGTAGTCTCATGGTTCCTTCTGACCTTGAATTCTATCAGTCACTGTATTTAGGTGGCTCTCGCCACAAACACAAGTTCTGGAGAACTTGTGCATTATCTGGTATAGTTACTAGGTTTGTATAATGCTCCCTGTTAACAGGAGGAGTAAGTGCTGAAAGTCTAGGAGCAAACAAGAATTGAAGGAATTAATGAGTAGTAGGAACAGATACAGCTGCATACTTCATCTTGCTAGTCTGATCTCTGCACAAAACCAAAGGATTCTTGATTAATACCATTTGACCTGATTGATTTGTTCTTCCATGCTTTCCTAGACTCTTTGGGAAGCCTTCCTTGAAGGGAGGCTTACTAGAATGTTTCCATCTGTGCCTTAGATCTTGGCATCATGTATGTATTCGATTTATCTTAAGTCATACGTTTGTCCCTCTATTACAATGCTATGTGGAAAATCCAGTGAACTGACAAAATGGGGCTTCACTGGGATTTAAGAGGATTTTATCTGCATGGCAATTACTGTGTCCCTCTGACACTGAGGTTGTGGAAAATTGTGCATATGTGTGGAAGAAACTGCGTCTTTCCTGCTGACTTCACCATCCTCCTGCATACACAAGCACATCTGCACACGTGTGCATACTGTCATAGCAGAAGTTTGACAGATACCAGTAAATATGCAAATGCATCAATTTCTAAATCTGAAATGGCTTGAAAAGACAAATTGCATTGAAAAATAGCATCCCTTTACTTTGTATCTTCAGGGGTTTTTACATTCCCTTGAATGTGTGTGCACACATGCGTATGCACACACTGTGGAGGTTTTGTTTGCTTCTGAAGTGCAAAACTCCTGAAGAGCAGTTTGAGAGCAAGAGAGGGAAACTCACTGCAGAAACATTCAGAAAGATCATGCTTTTGCAGCACAAAATATTTGAAAGCTATTACGCTTTATGTGTTTCTGGAGTGGATAATTCTTGCCTTGATGTTGCCGACTAGAAGATAGACTGGGTTGTTGACTGTTTTGACCTTTTTCTTTCTTTCTTTTTTGGTTCCTTTCCACATTTATTGCACGGGAAAACACCCAAATAGTGGTAAGTGGATTAGGGATTCAGTTGTACCAGTCTTGGAGGACTATGGACAACTGTTGATGACTTTTAGGTTTTTATGTTAGGTGACACAACAGGAGTTTTCCTATTACTCCTCAGTTTATACACTTGAGTTCCAGAGAAAATCATTTGTTCTGGGGTTTTTAGTTTTACAGGGCTCCAGTATTGTTCCCACAACATCAGTTAAGGCTTCAGGTTTCTTTTTGTTTCATTCTTGGTCGGATTTCTGTGTTAGAGCAGAAGTGGTAGTACTGAATTGTAGCTTGATCTGTAAAACTTGATTCCGTTACAAAGAAACACATCTTAGATAATAGAATGACTGAACTGCTTTTATATCTGAACTTTGCCATCATGAGTAAAGGTTTGAATCAAAAGTTATCAATGTTAGGCGCAAGCGTTTAAATTAACAATACAATGAATAAATTGCTCTTTTTCTTCTTCTAACCTTGTATTTAAATGTGTTTTAAGTGAATGGAGTTCATTCTTGTTTAAAAAAAAAACACAAAAAAGGGAAAAATAGAGCTTGGAGGTATGAGGACTTCAGGTTGTGCTCTTGCTTTGCCTAGGTTTCCTGTTCTGTTGCATGACACAACTTCTGTTGTGCTGTTGATATGTAGCACTTTTCAGTAGGTCTGTCAAATTGTGCAATGCATTTTTTTATATTTACAACCAAAACAATAAAGGTTATTTTTTGGAAGAACCTGGGTTTAATGCCTTTATTTTCTACCTTTATGTGGTGAAATGGTAAGTGGAATTGTTCCTAGACCAGGATCAGCACTTGCCATCCTCTTTGCAAGTCTGAAAGGTGACAAGGACTCGTTTCCCTATTAGCAATGCTGAAGTTGTCCCTTTGATCTGTTTGGCTTTCCTATTGCAAGGCTTATATCCTCTGCTGAGCTTCTGAAGCTTGGACTCCTGTTAAGACTTAGAGACTGGGAATGGACAGCTGGGCTAAAGCACCATCTCCACAAGTCCAGGTGTCTGCAGAGTGTACATGTTTCTTCACCCTGTGAAGAATAACCGGTGAGCTGCTCTTTCACATTTTGCATAGATTTCCAAATGTCCTGATGTTCTCATGTGTTCCTGAAGTTGCCAGACTCGTGTTGATAATTATATTAAGCATAACAGTGAGAGCAAGCCCTTTTGACAGAACTAAGCAGACAAACATCTATTTCTTTCTGCCCCTAACAGGTTAGTAATTCAAACCCCTGGTATAAAACGCTTACGCCTGCAGGGGCTGCGTCAGTGCCCTGAGCCCTGATGGTCTTTCTTGCTTGCAGCCTTGGACCTTGGGCTCTTGGCTGACATACCCAGTGGACTCCACAGAGCAGCACTGAGATGGTTAACATGGTATTTCCATGGAACTAATGTCAGTGTTAGGCATTGAGCTGCTTAAATCCATTTAAAAGCTAAAACAAATAACGTTTCATCTTTGCTGTTACTGACTGATTCTTGGTTTTCCCTGGTAGGATGCTTCAATTGTCCCCTCATTGGTGTATTGGATTTTCTTGCCCAGTGGAAGCAGCATTGGGTGACTGAGGCTGTAGCTGAAGCGAAAGGTAACAGATGACTGAAAAGAGGGATTTCATTTCAAAATCATTCCACAAGAGTTGATGCTGATTAATCTCATCCTTGCGATTGGTGGTTTTGACTTCATACAGTGTACAAGAACTTTTGATGAGTCAGGCCTGTGGTTCCAGGGGAAGGTAGAG